GCCAAGAGAATTGCTTTGGGATACACCAATCACTCATCCCCGCCCCTTTTCGCTTGGAGGCATGCCTGTAATAGTCAGCCTGGAACTTACCGGCCTCAGCCGGCATAACAGACTCCCTGGGAATTAACACGATCACCTTCCTGTTTTGTGATTCTCAGCAAACAAACGGCCCGTTCCGGAACCGGAGTTCGTGTCCGAGGAGGAGCGCCCGGCCGCGGACTTACATACTGGAGTTAGCTGACAGCGGAATTCCTTATTTGGCGCTCAGCCGAATCGCCGTGTCACCAACCTACACTGGATACTTGGAACAACACCACCTACCCAACCATCTGTGCCAACCCAGCGTCACACACACAGTGAACAGCATCCCCGACCGCAACCATGACGCACGCAACCCCTAAACCCGAACCCCAACCCACCGGCCCCGAGCCCGAACCCGAACCCGAACCCGACTTCCTCCTCCAAAGCTACACCCGCCTCCGCCATGCCATCACCACCACCACCACCACCCCCTCCTCCCCACAAACATCCCCCCTCCAAACACAGGCATCCCCCTCCATCCTCCCCAAACCCCAAACCCTCCACACGGCCCTGACCTCCCTCCCCAACCCCACCTCCCCCACCTACCTGCACCCGCGCGGCGCCGCCGCCACGCACGCCCACCTCCTGACCGACCTCCTCCCGGGCCCTCAACCACCAGTCCCTTTCGCCGCGCTACTTTCGGCTTCGTGACGGGGCGGCGTCCTGCCCATCGCCCGAGGGCCGCCGACAATCTGGGTCTCGGGCCCTGGACCAGGAACGTCCAGGTGCACTTTCCCTCCCGCCTCCTCTGCCTAAACCCTGGCCCCTGGCTGCGAGCGGCCTCGGTCAGCATCGAGGATGGGCACACTCGGCGTGCACGGCGGTCGAGGACGCCGCGCTGGGGATGGTGGTGGCGCTGCTGGAGCTGGGCGGGGGCTGGGATGGACGGACGTTCACGACGGGGGCAACGGCGGGCAACATACTCGGGCTGGCGTGCGGGCGGGAGGCGGTGGTCAACGCGCGCGGCGGTAGGACGACGGTTGCGGAGGCGGGTTTGTTGGCGGCGTGCATGGCCGGTGGCGTGCGGGAGGTGCAGGTGCTGACGAGCATGGGCCACTCGTCGCTGAGCAAGGCGGCGAGTGTGGTGGGGCTGGGACGCGGGTGTGTTAAGGAGGTGGGGTTGAGTGCGGAAGAGCCGTGGCGGTTGGATTTGGATGCCGTGGAGCGGGAGCTGCGGCGGGAGGGGGATGGGGTGGTGAGTATTGTGGTGGTGAGCGCCGGGGAGGTGAACACGGGCCGGTTTGCGACGAATGTGTTGGATATGCCGAAGCTGAGGAGCTTGGCGGATCGCTATGGGGGCGTGGATTCATGTTGATGGCGGTATGCATTCGCTCTACTCCTTCGGTGTGTGGGGGTTTATCGAATTGATGTTGATGAATTTAGCATTTGGCATCTTTGCCCGAGTCCTCCCCAAGACGGACGAGTATCTTGGTCTGCATGCGAATGTTGCCGGCCTGGAATTGGCCGACAGCATTGCGGCGGACGGACATAAGCTCTTGAATGTAGTATGTTATTGCCAGAGTATGATCTTTGGTTTCTGCCCTAACAGCACCTAGCCCTATGATAACGGCATCTTTCTCTGCCGGCACGCTTCCGTCCTCACGCAGGTCTGCAGTAACCCCAACGCTGCGTACCTCGCGTCCTCTGCTGGTCCCGATTCCATTTTGAGTCCGCTAAATATTGGCCTTGAAAACTCGCGCCGGTTCCGTGCCCTGCCGGTGTACGCTGTCCTATTAAGCGAAGGTAGGGAAGGGATGGCGGCCATGCTCAGCCGGATGGTTCTCCTCGCGCGGGAAATTGCTGCATTTGTGCGGGATTCGGACCACTACGAGTGGCTGCCGAGCGAGGATGCGTCGTTGGAGAGTACATTCATCGTCGTGCTGTTCCGAGCCAAGGATGCCGTCTTGAACGAAGTGCTGGTTGACCGGATCAACGCGACGGGCAAGATGTTTGTCAGCGGGACCAAGTGGGACGGAAAGAAGGCTGTTCGCATTGCTGTGGGGAGCTGGCGGGTCGATGTCGAGAGGGATACGGCGGTTATCAAGGAGGTATTGACCGCTATTGCCGAGGGTCGGGAGTAGTATGGGCTTATGCTTGAGCATTTATGTCGAATCTAACGCAGGGCTGGGCGAATAAAAAAAGGCGTATTCGCCGTTGAATATCCCAAATATCGCAACGATGGCGACACCGTTCGACCCTCTCTGCGCGGTGCACGACCGCAGTCCATCCAGCTTCCACCTAACCAAACTTGCGACTCCCTCCCTTGAACTCCTTCTCAGCGCCCTTCTTCCTCCCCTTGCCGATCAACTCAAGATGCCCGGCCCGCTCACCGAGCATCTGCTCTGTCTTCGCCACCAAGCCTGCCGAGAACTTCTTCTGGATCTTGTCGGCCGTGGTCTTTGACTTTTTCGATTTGGTGACGCCCGTCTTTTTCTGCTGTTGCTTGCCGCCTGCCTTGCCGCCTTTCCCGCCCGGGGCGGGCTTCGGTGCCTTTTTAACCGCACCCTGGGCCATTTTGTCGGACAACTAACTGGTGTTATTGTTGTTGTCAAGTACCTAGGAAAAGTGGGTTGTTGCAGCCAGAAAATAATTCTGGGGAATAGCTAGGGAAATAATTATGCCGCTTTTTACCGCTTACCGCTTTTGATGGCTCATCATGACCATTCCACCACTTGCCGACTCACTACCGATATGTGTGCGCAGTACTGACATACCTTATTGAAAAGTCATGTATTCGTCTGTGTGCCCAAACCTCAGAAGATTCTAATCCTAGTGTCACTCCAGAATCAAACGCCAAAGGTCTAGAAAACCTAGTTGTGCCCTCCGAATTCGACCCAGCCAAACTCCAAGTCCTGAACCCCATGTGCCGTGAACTAACCAGAGGATGGATGCCTCCGCCGTTCGCTCAAACTAGATAATAACGCCCTCACCTTCCTCCTCATCCAGGCCTTCCTCCTCACTCCACTCCACATCCGCGGCCGCCGCCTCGGCCTTTCTCTGCACCTCGGCCAAACCACTGAGCTCAGCAACATAGTTCCGGTCTGAAAGCGCTTTCTTGACAAATTCCCAGCCGTCGGTTTTGTATGCCGATACGATCGATGGACTGCATGCGCTGCACTGAGGGTAGGACTTGCCGTGGATCTTCATGTTCTCGAAGTTGGACAAGAATCCTCGGATTTGGTGCGGTACGAGACCTAGCGGGTGGTCGATTGGGTCGCGTTCGTAGTTTGATCCCGCTGATCCCTTCGAGGACACTGGAGCTGGTGCATGCTGTTTCTTCGGGTGCTGGAGCAAGCTGGTGAGTAGTTCGACCAACAGTGCTGAGGCGATGGCTGCGACGCCCGGCCGGGTGACTGTGCACTGCTGATCCAGGGTCTGGTCTTTCATGGACTGTCCTTGTGGTTAGCAAATACTCAGCTCTATACTTCCCCGCCGAGGAGACTTACATCAGCTGCAACGACAACGTCATTGCAGAAATAGCAACCCAGTGTCTCCTCGCTGCCATCCTCTGGCGCCGCACCATGTCGCATTACCACGTACGTGTCGAACCCAAGCGCCGCATTCATGACGATCTTGTTGGAGGCCTTGCCCATCAGGGTGGGCAGCCACCTCGATTCGCGCGAGTCCATGAGGAGGAAGATGGCATCATGTGCATCTACCAACTCCTGTAGCTTGTTGAAGTCTGTCTTCACCCCCTCCTCGTCCAGGACGGCGTGGCCGAGCATTGGCACGCACAAGACATGGCCCTCAGACTCAACGCCAGGGTAAATCTCCTTTAAGACCTCAGCAGCACGGGGCGCCTTTGGCTTCCCTCCGCCAGTACAGTCATCAAACGTGAACAACGGCTGCCGCACGGGGTTCGAAAAGGATACATTGCCGTAGTCGACAAATGTAATCTTTCGCACGCCCCATCCCATCAAATTCCTCGAGACATAGCTTCCAAGTGTCCCCGCGCCGAGTAGCAGGCACTTTGTGTTTTTGATGGCGTCAAGGTCGAGTCCAGGAGCCAGCCGCCACTTCATTAGCTTCAGGTTAAGATCCACCGCCTGGTCTGCCAGCCGTGTGGGATCCATGTAGTCCGATAGATTGACCATGCGTGCTCTCAGCTTAGCCCCGCCATCTCTCTCCCAGCCTGTGACACTGGGCATCTTAGGGGCTTGTGTATCCTCGACGACGTCCGTAGACAATGGGAGAATTATACTCCGGGCCTCATGCCTCCTCGCTTGCGTGTCGCGGTAACAAAGAATTTGAACCTTGTTCAGGCGGTATCTCTGCTTGATCAAGACAAGAAGATTTCGAAGCGGCCACGATGGTGATTCGGAGTAGTTTGACGGATCCACAAAGGCAACATAGCGGTCTTCCTCGGCGACATCGTCGAAAAATCCAGTCTCAAAGTCACGGAGGGGGGCGATTTGCCATCGATAGCCGATATCTGTAGGGGGGTCGTCGGGCCCTGGTCCTGAAGTCTCATCCTCACCCCGCACTTTCTTGGCAAGGAAGAAGCCATGTTCTCCTTCGTTACTCACGGAATACCTCCAAGTCCCAACAGAGTCAACAAGCGCTGTGCTTTCTTGTGCATTCAGGTGCCCAACCGGCCCAGTTTGCTTCCAGGCGGGGTCTGAGTGGAGCGCAGGGAATGCAAACCAGTAGGTAAACTTGTACTTCTTCAGGTCGGCAAACGAGAGGATGGCGAATGACGAGAGGAGAGAGGGTACCGAGTAGATTGTGCCATCCTGGATCGCCTCCCATATCTATCAAATTTGTGAGCAGTTAGCGAAAAGGAATCGCTGGGACTACACACCTGGCGCCCAGCATCCGTGATCATGGCAGTTTAATCCGTATTTTTAAAGTCCTCGATGGTATTCACATTTTTGATGTACCCTTTGGCACGGGTCATGCCGGCCGGCACACTGCATCATCGTTAGACTCTAGACTCGACCGGCTAAGAGCCCAAAGGTGTGAACTTACTCTCTGTTTGTGAGTGCGGTCCCGAAAATCTGCATTCTTGTGCCTGATGCCTCGTCGGCTCTCCCGCGGGGCTCATACAAACCCATCACCGGGCGGGCCGAGTCATCGAGCTTGTCGGTGTCGAGCTTTGATGCAAAGAGGGCAGAATAGAATGGTAGTTCGACCTCTGACGAGAAAGGCACAAACTTGAGGGCGGCCATAGTAACCAACTAGCCAGGTGGGGAGTATCGTATTGTGGCTGGTGTGATGTAAAATTGGTTGATTGATCGTGTTTGAATGGAACTCGATTCGGGGGAATGGGAGATATCGAAATCCTGGTGACGTAGTGGGGAGCGGGAAGTACTCCAGAGCTAAATAATGGGAATGAGGGAAGGTTGATGCAAATGCAAGTCCAAGGTAGGTTGTTCACAGAGTAGTGAATTGACAAACAGAAGATATCACTAGGCAAGGAGTCGGGTATGGTTGCCTTGTTCAAGTGTGTAACGACTCAAAGCTGCTCAGGGTCTGGCCAGATTCGAAGAATGTACATCTGTACAGAAGCTAATAATCCACCTGGGATATGGAGAGCAGCAGCAGCAGGGAGGCGCGTGGTTCCTTTCGGTGCCGGTCAGCTGATTTTCTGTTAGATCCGGTGGATGGGATGGCCAAGATGTGTCATGGGATCCATCCGACAGTGTTCGTTGTTGGTGTTGTCAGCAAGGCAGCTGCGCCGCCTCCGGGTGATGGTGGGGGAGCTCCAGTCCAGCTTCCATGCTCCAGCTTGCGCTGCTGCCCCTCACTTGTTTCCTGCTAAGACCGGCAGAATGCCCCTCTGTGCCAAGCCTTGGCAATCGGCTTTCACGCGTAAATTGTCTGCAGGGACGCGTCGGGCCGCACTGCACAGCTCGGGTCCCAGGAGTCTTGTAAAGGAATTTGTGGGCAAGGGAATTCTGAAGGAAGATCGCGTCCATCTCTTGTGTGGCTATTTGTACCTAGCTTACTGAAGAGGGGCAACCACGACAAACCGACGCAACCATGTTTATTGGCGTCTGCGGCAGTAAATCCCCCTTTTTTTATCTTACCTAGGTTGTTTACGTATCCCCTTTTTGACAGCGAGTGCCAGGCATCTGCGCGGGGAAGCGTACCATCGCCCGCTACTTGGTTGACCACCATGGCTTCACCCAGCTCTCTCTCTCGACCCGTTCCAAGAACGGAGCGAACGATGGCATCGATGGGATCGCCTTCTCAACCAACAGCAGCTTGAGCGATCCCGACAGGCCACCGAATCCCCAACACACCTTCTCCGCCCCCAGCGACCTCCTGGACTTCGTCACCAAGCATTGGCGCGGCCGTTGGGTGACGACCGACATCCACACCGAAGCGGTCCTCGACCTCTATGCCCGGCGCCCCTTCTTCCTCCTCCTCAGCGTCGACGCGCCGCTCACCGTCCGCTGGCAACGCTACCAGGCCCGCCAACAGCAACAACAACAACACCTCCTCACCACCGCCACCACCACTACCGAAGCCGACCCCTCCACCCCCACCCCCCAACCCGTGACCCTCGAAAGCTTCGTCGCCCTCTCGGACGCGCACCTCTACGACGCCGCGCAGGGCGCCAACACACTCCTCTCGCGGGCCGCCGTGCGGCTGCTCAACACGTCGCAGTCCCTCGCGCACCTGTACGCGACGCTCGGCAAGCTGGACCTGCTCGACGGCGACCGCCTGCGCCCGTCCTGGGACGCCTACTTCATGTCGCTGGCGTCACTGGCGGCGCAGCGCAGCAACTGCATGAAGCGGCGCGTCGGCTGCGTCGTGGTGCGCGACAAGCGCGTCATCTCCACCGGCTACAACGGCACGCCGCGCGGGCTGCGCAACTGCGGTGAGGGCGGCTGTGCGCGGTGTAATGCGGGGGAGGGGGGGTCCGGTCATGGTTTGGCGACGTGTCTGTGTATTCATGCCGAGGAGAACGCGTTGCTGGAGGCCGGCCGCGAGAGGTTGCGGGATGGGGCCGTGCTGTATTGTGATACTTGTCCGTGTTTGACGTGTAGTATCAAGATTGTGCAGGTGGGGGTGGGGGAGGTGGTGTATAATCAGGGGTATAGTATGGATGGGGAGACCGCAGCGGTGTTTAGGGAGGCTGGGGTGAGGTTGAGGCAGTTTGTGCCGGTGAGTTCTTTTTTCTTACTGCGTACTCCCTCCCCTTTCTTCCGTGTCTCGTGATGCCTTGCCTACCTAGAGACGGTTCTGTTTTACTGACGACGTGGGGATGCATAGCCTGCCAATGGGTTGATTCACCTCGAGAGACTGGAGTAATATGCCCGGATAGACTGAGTGGTGGCAAGAATCATAAAACAGGAGCTTCGCCTCCGTTCAGTTCAGACCACTCGAAGTAGTACTTATTTTTTCAAGTATTGCACCTACGAAGTAGTGCTGTCGTTATTGTTCAACTTCGCAAACGCCGAATGACAGGCGGCCGGGAATTGATTCCTTCGGCCGGTGTTTTCGGTGTTAATGAACGCGGCTGCGGCAAATTCAAAGAGTTATCGCTCACCATGTGGTTCATCAAACAGCGGTCAAGACCAGTCACGGTAATAAGAAGTGAATTCAACCAGACGCAAGTCAATCCTTACCCGGATATAGGGCCCAGACGACTTGAACGGTGAGGTTTGGTCACGATCACCGGCGCCAATGCACCCCAGACTTCACCAGCCACCTTGGCGGTGATGGCCGAGCATTGGCAAGGGTCGGCAAGCCAACCGGAACTGCTGGGCGCTTGGGGTGCGGCCAATGCGGCATTTATGGGTGTCGTGGGGGCGAACAATCCCACATCTCCACGGCACAGGCTGGCTGCTGATTCCTCATATCCCGACTCATCTCCGGCTCGGGCCTGTTCTAAGCGGAGCCGATTTATTATGGGCAAAACACGATTTTACGACGCAACCCCAAAAGATTGGGTGAAAGTTTCGGGTCAGTGAAGGTATCAAATAGTATTAGAAGAGAACAAAAAAGTTATAGTAAAATGAGCCGCCAGAGTCTCCCAGATGGCGAGATCCGGCGCGCCGTGTGAGAATACCCCGTCATCAGGATTGAGAGTTGGATAGATCCGATGAGTAGACACGACATGGCCGCGACATAATAACTCGTCCAGTTTCCGTCCCAATCCTTTCCAAATTCTCTAAACAAGCAGCCTTTCCAAGCCACCCGGGCAGTTGAATACCGGTAGGGACGAGAAGAATCATGGAGGTGCCGTTGCGGTATGTTGCTGGGTTGAGTCGTGGGGTATCGTCGCAAATCGGCTGGTCGATCCCGATCTAAACCGCGTCCCTCCTGGCTGCCAAACCACCTTTCCCCAGGAACCCTCATGCCGAGCAGGCCAGGGAACCCTTTAAATCATCTCCCCCCTCGTAAACGCCCCCCATCCACAACAAATCATTACTTCATTGCCCATCCCGGACTGGCCGGACCGTTCCTCCGTACGTCTTTCGACTCAGCGTGAACCAGGAGTGGTGGAAGAGGTGTCTATTTGTTTAGACGGTTGATTGGCGCTTCTCGCGGCGGGCCAGCATCTTCTTGTAGATGAAGAGGGCGAGAAGGCCGACGGCAACGACAAAGACGACGCAGAACACGACCATGACACCGGCGTTCTCGCGGGGCCAGTCGCTGCGCTTGGCGAGCTGGGCAAAGCTGTCGCGAGCGACGAGGGAGAGGTTGATGGCAGCCATTGTGAAAGATTTGGGTTGCTGAATATTGAACAATTAGTGATTAGAGTTCTGGATGAGTAGCATGCGTCCAATTGAACAGTTGACCAGTCTCGATTTCCCGATTTCGCCGTCAGGGATGGTTTTGGCGAGTGTTTGCCGCACGGGCATGATTTGATTCTGGGGGGCTGGGCTGGTGTGAAGGAGCTTGGACGGCAACACCATCGCCATCGGCTGTGGCACTCTTGGCGCTTGGCATCCGTCATGCTGCCGAAGCTCGGGGCGCATCGCTCGAGAATTACATAGCAGTCGCCCGAGGGATAGGATGGGATTGAGAAGGGAGCCGAGTGCGAGATGCTGTTCGGAACTGGCCAATTGATGGAAGATGATATTTGCTTACAGTTTGGTTTTGCGTATTAAGGTGTGGATGAAGAGACGCGAATTGGATGAAGCTTCGAGGACTCCGGCTTTGCAACGGTGATTAAGTCTGGGAGTCGAAGGGCGGGCGAACAACACAGGACGTTGAGAGGTTGGAGGACGACGGGCCAATTGGGGGAAATCGGGCGTGGCAGTCTCCTGTCGAGCGGAAGTGTCAAGTGAGGTTGGAAAGAGAAGGGAACCAGAGATGGAAACGGCGGATGGGAAGAAGGAAACAAAATAACTCCTGTGGGTCAATCGGCAGAAACAAGAAAGCTTGGCCACCGGAGGCACGGAGAACAGGCCATGACAGGGCTTTCTGCGCGAATTTCGAATCAGACCGCTCAAAGCCGGCCGGGCAATCAAGGTGGGGGTGCTCGGCTCGGTTGGGGAACCATGAGCTCAGCAAGGCGTTCTCCACGAACAGTGGCTCAAGTGGGCACCACTCGAGACTTTTCCCACGCAGGCACGGATTTGCAACCTGCATGTCACTCCAGCAGTCCAGCACATCCTCAATCAGTAGCTCGGTACCGAGCTTCAATGGTTCTGTGCTCCAGTAACGGGCATCCCCGCGTCTCGGTAGTGTAAGCAACAAAAATGCAGGTGGCTTGAGCTTATTATTCCCCAATTCTGGAGAACTTGACGACGATGCCGTGCTCGGCCTCGGCGGCCGGCTCTGGGGTTGAGATTGGTGATCCTGGCGCAAAGCCAGCTAGCGACAAGGAAACAAAGTGCGGGTGACCCTGTCACTGTTCGGTTGGGAGCCACCCTGTGGGGTCTTTTGCGGTTTCGAGGGAGGCCCGTGAGACGGATCGCCTCCCGCTAAAATGAAAACTCGCAACGAGAATTCGAGAACACCACCAGCCCTCGCGTTTCGCGCTTGGTTGCTCGCCGCGCCTCCAGCCGTTGCCGCGTCGGGTGGCGCACACGACAACTACTATAAACCATCAGACCATCAACCCGGCTCCTGGAAATGGCGCAGATGGCATGCAGGACATCCATCTTGTGTCACCGGCCCGTCGAAACACCACACGACTAAAAGCCGAAACTTGACCCCCGCCAGTTCGACGACGAGGCGCGGAACACTGAACGCCAGGGGCGCCCGAATCCCGTAACTGCACAGGATGATGCCATGTAAATTTTCAGCGGGTTATCAGTAAACAGCGGGCTCCATGTTATTCTGAAGCTTTATTTCCGGCACCCCACTCGTCCACCTCCTTCGTGAGGCATGCCGTGCTTCCCGACAGGGCCGATTGCCCATCCATGATAAGTGGAGCCAACCGCCGAGAGCTGGGGCGAGGCGCCGAGGCGGGAGTGCGTGGGATAGCCATTCACAGGGCTGGAGGCAGGAGGCTTGAAATTCGACCCCTGCAGGTATAGGCCTCTTTAAACATACAAGTCGATACCCTGGTTATTCGTATGTCCTGACAATGTAGGGAGAAGTCGAAAAGAAAAAAAGATTGTCCGACAGCCTGGCTTGTGGTCTTACATAATTAACTCTAGAAAGATTAACTAACTATCAGCTTGCTCGTCCAAGTTCTTTCTCCTAGCATACCACATGTCAACCAGGCTAGAGCGAACGAACAGGCGAAGTGGCAGCGTAGCGTATTACGGTAAAGTAGCAAGGTATCATCAGATTCGGTCTAGAGATATGCTTATCCTATAAACAACCATCGCACTTCGGAGACAGCACAACAGGCTCTGCCCACCCCTCAGCCGCGGCGGCCGAACGTCCTCCCCCCTCTTCTCCTGACGTCAAAAACACTACGCCTCAACAGCGATTTTCAATTGCTTAGCACGAGATGGGCCTAGGGCCAGGGGCGGTGTAGGCCTTGCCGTCGTTGTCGGGCTTGCCGGTCGAGCCGTAGATGCTGGTCAGGATGCCGGGGTCGCTGGCGCTGTAGGCACCGGGGAAGCTGACGGTGTCGGACGGCGAGAGGGAGCCGGAGCCGGAGACGTTGATCTGGGCGCAGGACTGGTAGAACTGCGCCTGTCCCTGCTTGCCGGCCGAGTGCAGGGCCAGGACCTCGACGCGGAGGAGGTATTGGCCCGACGCGACGCACTGCGGGAGGTTGAAGTACACCCAGCCGTTGTTCTTGAGCAGGTTGTCAACGCCCCAGACACGGCTGCCGGTGTCGAAGGTGTCCTCCCAGATCTTGAACCTGTCAAGCAAGGCCCGTTAGTTTCGGGTTGTGGTGGCCCTTGGGGGAAGATAACACTTACCACTTCAGACCGTTGAGGCTGGCGGAGGCGGCGTTGTCGACCTTGGCGAGATAGGCCATGACGGGGCCCTTGTGCGAACTGGCGATCGGGTTGTCCGGGTCGTTGGGGAACTGGGCGCCGCCGATGACATGCTGGTACCAGGCGCCGATCCTGTCTCCGGCCTTGACCTGGATGACAGTCTGTGATGTGGAACCCGGTTGTCCGCAGATCATGTTCTGGCTGCTGACATCCTGCACCGGGTTGTTGTTGTTGGGGGCGCGGAGGCCAGTGAGGGAACCTTGGTCGGCCCCGTTGACAGAGACCTTTTGGAAGATGGCGTGTCCCTCAACTGAGAGGGCAGCACCCAGGAGAGATACCAGCGAAAGCTTCATGGTGGCTTGCGGTCAGGGGGGAGAGTCGACTGCGGTGTGAGTGAGCTTGGGTTGCCTGCTGTGAACCCAAATATTGACGGCACTCTCCCAGTACTTATAGAGCCCAGCGGGATGGGTAAGGGGTAGGGGATGGGGGGTTACGGCGCCGGCAACGAACCCTTAGATCCGTACGTTGGTCCGAGAAGGCACCGAGTTTTGAATCCCGGGCCAGGTCAAGACGGACATGCATAGCATGCATAGTGGGCATGACGGCATCCCTGATCTTGTGAGCCACGGTGACAAATGGGCGACGGGGGGGGCAAGAGGTGCCGACCCGTGGCTTGCGGTCCGGTAGTCAAGCAGAGCGGGGCCCCGGGTTTTGAGATGGGGGGCAATATATTCAGATAAACTGGATTCTATATTGCGTCTGGGGTATGGGGGGACGGGTTGGACAACAGCAAAGCACCGTCACCGGCGCCCATCAATGCCGCCAATGCCCAGCCTCGTCACATTAGCCAGTAAATGGGATGCTCCCAGCTAGGGGCGGTTAAAACTGAGGCCAAAAACAGAACAAGGCGGAAGCTTTCCTAATTGAGCCGGCCGACGAACGGCCTCCAACCTTCCCATAGCGGTGGGAGAGAGTGTCGATCTGATGTCGAAATCCCATGCAACCGCGTGGGGCGGCGCCAAACGTGGAGAAGACGGAATCTGAGACCAACCAGATGGCTTGGGGCCGCCATGATGGACGGAAGATAAGCGAAAGAGACGTCGAAAACCCGGAACTGGGACGCCGTGATTCAACCTCTGACGAGGATCAGTTTCCTGTCAGGGTCAAATCGTGAAGCCGGCGACCATGCGAAAGCGACATCATCCAAGGGCGAGGCTGACCGGGGGATCCAAGAACACGGCCCGGACGCCGGAGTGGAACACCAGCAAGGGCAAGCAATGGCACGACGATGCGCAGCGCGCCGAACCATGGTGGTGGGACCGAGATGTCGAAGCCGGACCATTCAAATCAATGTCTGGTTGGCGATGCACCCGTCACATTAGCTCGAGAGATCCATGCTGGGTTCGAAGATCGAAGGTGTCAAGGAACCTTGGGGAAGGAATGTTCTGTCCAGGCTCGGCCAGACTGGGAGTGGAGTGTGGGATGGGAGGGGAGAGTTAACCATGGATAGATACAAGAGCCGGATAATCGAATAAACCGCACAACCCACCTTTGCTAGCCAATCAGTTTGCATCATTTGTCAGAGCAGCTGGTCTGTGCCCTTTCAAGCAGTGAACCTCTGGAAGTCGACGACGCTCAGTCGGGCCAGCAATTGCGACGCCGAAATCGATTGACGCTGCCATTGCCCGACACAGCCGCAGCCATGGCGAGTAAACTAACACCCTTCCTCATGCGGACGGCCGTTCGGTCGGCGAGCCGGGCAGCGCGGCCAATCGCACCTGCGACTCGGGCATTCTCGCTCTCGGCGAGGAAACAGAGCGATACTCTCATGGTGGTGAGTTGGTGCCCGCCTTGGGGGTATGCGCAATTGAGATCTCGAGAGCCGGAAATTAACATATAGCCCAACGAGGACAGCATCGCAACACTCCCGACAACAACCCCGACATTCCGTTCAAGTTCACCAAGCAAAATGAGGCCATCATCACCGAGGTCCTCAAGCGTTACCCCCCGCAGTACAAGAAGGCGGCTGTGATGCCGCTGCTCGACCTGGGTCAGCGCCAACATGGCTTCACCAGCATCAGCGTCATGAACGAGGTGGCCCGCATCCTCGAGATGCCGCCGATGCGTGTTTACGAGGTGGCCTCTTTCTACACCATGTACAACCGGACACCCGTGGGCAAGTTCCACGTCCAGGCCTGCACGACGGTACGCACCCCCGACTCTTTTTTGCTCAACTTGCCTGGCGCAGAGGCTGATTTATTCCTTACCTACAGACACCCTGCCAGCTCGGCGGGTGCGGCAGCGACGCCATCGTCAAGGCCATCAAGGAGCACCTCGGGATCAAGCAGGGCGAGACGACGGCGGACGGGCTCTTCACCTTCATCGAGGTCGAGTGCCTGGGCGCGTGCGTCAACGCGCCCATGATCCAGATCAACGACGACTACTACGAGGACCTGACGCCCGAGACCATCAAGTCGCTGCTGACGGCGCTCAAGGAGAGCGTGACGGACGTGGGCAAGGCCGCCAAGGTGCCCAAGCCGGGCCCGCTGAGCGGGCGGGACACGTGCGAGAACAGTGCTGGGCTGACGAATCTGACGAGCGAGCCGTGGGGGGTCGAGAAGACGCGGAGCGATTTGTAGACTTAACTAACGGCATCAGGGGCCTGATAGACGGGTGTACAAAACGAAGCCTTTAGTGTATGTTGCAAAAAGGGTGTCGCTAGTCGAACATGCAGTGATAAAAAGATCTGTAACAACGGACCGAATTCGACTAATTTTGCACTAACTCTTAGGTGAATGCAGACTGGTCGCTACCCCCTAGAAATCACCCTCGCAGAATTTCATCATCAGGTTCATCTCCAATAACAAATCAGAAAACCCCCCTCGGCCGCCAACGCCGCACATCCATATTAACCAACACATTTCTTCCACCACACATTCATAACCAGCCATAACAAGCCGCCGACCCTAGTCCAGCCAAGAAGAGGGAGCTCAATCAACCCAGTCTGAAGATCCAACCATCCCCCAGCCGCTGATTCCCCTCATTCAGCCCCCCAAACACAACAATCCCATTCTCCTCGAGCGCGCCCATGGTGGCACTCGCCACCCACCCGCGCGAACCGGGGCCCTCAGCCGAGGCATCGTCCTCGTCGTCATGCGGGGCCGTCTCGACCCTAGTCCAGGACCCCTCCCCATTCCTCCGCCCCACCACCGAAAAGGCGGTATCGGCCACGCTGGCCAGCGACATGCCCTCGGACGGCACCTGGAAGGCCCACACGTCGTCCCAGAACCGGCCGGCCGCGGCGTGGCCGGCCCCCGACGCCTCGCGCTCGCCAAACATCAGCACGAGGTACTCGCGGCCGCCGCCGACGGAGACGGCCTCGAGGGAGGCCACGCTGCGGTTGCCCGGCCAGGCAGCATCGGCGGGGTCGGCGTCGCCGTGGCGGCGGGCGTGCAGCGGGCGGGTGGCGGCGTCGACCTCCTTGTAGCCGACGTCCTCGTTGCCGAAGAAGAGCAGGCTCTTCCAGCCGGCGCGGCCGCGGGGGCAGAGCACGGCCTCCTCGCCGCCCGAGACCTGGTCGTCGAAGGTGTCGACGCCCAGCTCGAGGAAGTCGAGCTGCCCGCCGGCCTGGGCCTCGCCGTCGAACCCGCCGAACCGGTACAGCCGGCCGCCGGCGGTGCCCCCGAGCGCGAGCGCCGCCCCGCCCCGCCCCGCCCCGGGTGCGTCCGGGAACCGCTGCCACACGCGCGACCGCACGTCGAACGCCCACACGTCGGCCGCGCGCGCGGGCCCGCTGCCTTCGGCGAGGCACCCGCCGTGGATGATGAGCGTGCCGTAGCCGTCGGCGTCGGGGTCGGTGGCGCGCTCGGCCAGCACGCCGACGACGGGCCGCTGCGGGGTGCCGTGGGTGTGCTCGGCCTCGGCGGAGGTGCCGAGGGCCCAGTCGCGCCAGGCCTCAACCTTGGTGTGCGGTTGCGAGTTCGGGCGGGACGGGTGTGCGAAGGTGTCGGGCTTGGAGGTGGCGACGGCGGCGTGGTAGCTGCGGGGCGCGGGGCGCGGGATGTCGGGCAGCCCCGCGGCGGCCGGGCTCGGGTCCAGGAAGGACCAGAGCTGCGTGCGCGTGTCGAACACCCACACCCGGCCCCCTTCGTCCAGCGGCGCCATGTCTGGACCGCCGCGCCCGCCGAAGAGAAAGATGCGGTGGCCGATCACCGCCGTGGCGTGGCCGACGCGCGGTGCGGGCACGTCGGGCAGCTCCGGAGGCGAGATGGATTTGCCCTTGCCCTTGGCGTTGGCGCTGGCGCTGGCGTTCGGGCCCGGAGAGGGGGTGGTTAGTGGGACTTCAGATAGCTCCTTGTCGTCATCGGAATCTTCGTCCGAGTCCTCCTCTTCGGAATCCTCGTCGTCGTCGTCGTCCTCATCGTCTTCTTCATCTTCGTCAGACTCGGACTCGGAGGCGGATTCGGGCTTGGGCTCATTCACCGTGGGGACGGCAAGTTTCGCAGCGGGAGTTGAGGACTTGACTGGCTTGGCCTTGATAGCGTAGTAGTCAGCCTGGGCGCCGCTCGACGGCAGCGTGATGGCGTGCATGTCGTTGTCGACGGGACGGCGGGGCTCGATCTCGCCGCCGAAAATGTAGACTGTCCCGGCCACGATGTCGGCCGAATGCGACGATCGCGGAAGCGGTGGGATATCGAGTTTCTCCCAGGTTCCTTTCATGCCGCTGCTTCCACGGCTGCCCAGTGAGGGCATTGATGGCATTGAGGGCATCGAGGGCACCGCGGGCATGGAGTTGAACAGCTCCGTAGTGCGCCTCCTGAGGAGATTGAACGATTCCATGACTAGCTCGTTTCAAAACGTTCGATGCGAAGCTTTTGACCAATTTTTCACTTCCTTGCTTCCACGGTAACCAGGCGTGATGGTGGTTCAATTGCGATGCTTTGAGTACCTATGTAGAGGGGTGGCGGGTATTGGGGTAACTGTGGGGTAATTCGTTTGCTTGACTGTTTAGGACGGGAGCTCTCCCGTGTTTGGCTAAGTAGATGTTGATTCTCGACAGGCCGAGTGTTGTCGGGAGAAAGGAATGAGCGGGCATCGACAAGGGAAGAATGGTCAGCTCGAGGCCCTTGTAAGGGCATATGCAGTGAGTGGTTCGTTATGTGAGCGGGCTGTGTCGAGGCAGGGCAGCCGGGGTAGGAAAGTTCGGGCGGGGTCGTTCTGCAGCTTGTAACAAACAAAATCAGACGATCGAAACGGCTCGCGTGTCTTCTCCAAAGCCTCGACGTCATACTATACATCGCAGTGTAGAATACCCGCTTCATCGACACCATACACAATACGTCACAACCCCTTTGGTCTATTGGCCACGCAACTGGTTGATTATCCACATCAACCCTACCCCCCGAGATGCGGTCGAGTTTCAATATCCTCGTCGTTAGTAACTCATGCCGTAAAGAATCAGGCCGTATCCGTCTTGTCAACAACAACCAACATCAGACGAAACATCCACTTTTTATCCTTAGTCAACAAACCATTATTCGAAGTCAAAAAGAATGGTAGGTTGAACGAACCAGGAGACCTTTCACAAACCCCAGGGTCCAAAACAAATCATACCACTCGGCAATATACCAGTTCTATTTAACTCCACGCAGTGGGGTCGGTTCAATCCCACCAACACCGTTCTCATAAGCCTAACGGCCCTAGTATGCACTGTAGCTTTGCTTCGGAGGCATGTACGTATTCTGTGAGAGTACCGGATTACGGTTCAGTTGGCTCAGTTACCAAGCATTGATAACGACGATAATTCCGCTCGGTGTGTCCTTGTACAGCGCTACTTGAATACCTCGAATAAGAAAAAGCCAAAACGCCGTCGCCCTAGAATATCTCATGATGCCCCCTAACCCCATCCCGTTCAAAACCATGTCCCATTCCAGCCCAATCCCACACCCACAACCCTTTACATCAAAGTAAACGGCGAACTCACGCCCTCAAAAGCCACAATATTCCCGCCCAGACTCTTCGAATCCCCATAATACCGGATCCGATACACCCCCTGCTCCGCCCAGTCCTCGGGCTCCCACACAATCTCGACCTCGCTCGTGCCCAGGATCTCGTTCGTCCTCCGCCAGTGGAACACCAAAGCCCAGTCCCCATCATCCCTCACCCTCTTCCACACCGACGCCTCCTCCCCCCCCCTTCCATTATTAAGCAGACTCAGCTTCTCCACTGCGGCAAACGTGCCCTCCAGGCGCAGGTTATTTCTCGGGTTCGCGCCCACGAACACCGCGCTCACCGGCGGCTGCTGGCCCCTCCGATAAACCCTATTCACGTCGGTGACCACATCGCCAAACCCCTTGAACAGCGGCGTACCGTCCAGCACGACGGGCGAGATGAACGACAGCGACCGGTTCGAGTTGTCCGGCGGGAACAGGCCCACGTCGTCGTGCGGCGGCGGCGGCGGCGCGTCGGCGCCCAGGTAGGATAAGAACGATAGCGTCACGTTGATGTACGCCGCCAGCGTGTGCGGGCCGTATAGCGTCGACGCCCCCTCGTAGCGCTGGATGCCGTACTCTTCTTCGGTAGTGATGTAGTGCGTGTAGCTGTTCGCCGGGCCGCCTAGGACAACGACGGGGGCAGGGCTAGGGTCGGCCGATTCGGGGGTTTGACGGCGTTCGTCACGGAACAGGGTTGCTGAGGCGTCCGCTACGGTATTCTTCCATCGCCGGCCGGACATAGTGGTCGCTTCGCCGGGGCTGACGATGATGAAGAGTTGGCCGACGCGGAATGCCTGCACGTCGACGATGTTGGGCGTCCAGTCGTACGGGCTGTGCACCTCACCAACATCTAGGAGGATCGGTTTGGGGTCGTGGCACGCTCGCTGCTCAGGCGTGGCGTTCTTAAGAAGGCGCGAGACGACCTTCCAGACTGGCGACGTAGTGTTTTCGTTGCCGTCGTGCTGCGTGAAATCGAACGCGCCGGGGCCGTCCGATGTCCCGGCGGCGAACGAATACCCGAGCGCCGCCGGGCATGTGCGGGCTTCTGAGCCGTTGGGGAGGAGGAACGAGAAGCCGGACATGTCATGGAAGGTATGAAACGACTTGACCGGCCCGCCTCGCACAGTAACCGGGTTTCGCTGAAGATCGTGGTAGAGTGCCAGAGCAGGCTCGAACTGTCGTTTCCCTACCTCAAAGCATGAGCTCGCCCCGTTGTCTTGAACCCGGAAGAACGGCCCGCGGGCGTGGCATGCCTGGGATCTGCCGTCACTGCAGGTACTGTTTTCGAAGCTACACATCTCCCCTGAGCCGTCCTCACACCACGCGCCCAGGACATTCGGGCTGGTATCACCGACATTCGCTTGTGAGAAGCCAGCCACAAAGTTCTCAGCCGCCGTAGGATCCTGGCGGGCGTTCTTTTCGAACAGATAGGCGGCCACTCCTTTATTGTCACCTGCAATCAGAGTGTTGTTGCCCAGTAGCGAGGTCCCGTGGGTGGGAAACCAGGTAAGGACGCCAATGTTCTTCTTGTCCGATGCCCGTTGGAGCTTGAGCAGGGTCAGGTCTTTCTCTACGGAGCCATCGTCATCTGCGCTGACATTGTATTTGGCACGCTCCTGCTCTGGGTTGGCAAGATATGCAAATAAGCTGCGGTTTATGTTGGCCCCCTGCACCTTGGTGGTGCCAACGCTCAAGTACCCTGGCTGAAGGCTTTCGTGAGCCTTACGAATCGAGAGCAGTGCACCGTCGACAATAGCACGGTAGCCTTGGTGATCGAAGCCTTTGCTGGTAATTTGGGGAAGCAAGTAATTCAGCCAACCGGCAGGCCCGGCATGCGAGTGAGTGCCCGTCACGGCAACGTTGTGGTGGTTGTAAACGGCGTACGCCGGACCAAGCGCTTTGAGGCCGTTGATGATGCCGTATCGGACGGCCGTGTCGCCTGACTGGGTGTCCAGTACCAGGTAGACGAATCTCTCGTCGGGTTTATCGACACTGCCGACAATGAAGGCCCGCGAGTACAGTCGCTGTCGGAGACCAGTACCGACTTGCTTTGGATCCGCGTAGCCCATCAGGTTGATTTCGACCACGGGCCCGGTGATATCAGCTTTGCCAACCCCGATGAGATAGCGGTCTCCCGGAGACTGGGTTCCATCGGGCCGCTCAGCGGCGTTCAACCAGTGACCACTCCATCTCGAAGGGTCCCCGAACGGCAACGCTCTGCATACGAAAGGAGCGAGAAGGACCAAGGTCAGGATGGAGGCACACGCCAAGAAGAGTCGATGGCGGGGTATCCTTCTGTCCTCCCCAGCACATGCCTGTGGTTTCCGATGTTTCCGCACCGACTCTTGGTCTGTATGAGTCTCAGATGCTGCATCGCCCTTTTCGGGTTCCGTCGCAACAAGTAGAGGCTCTATCAGCTCTGCTTGCGCCGCCATAGTGAGGACCGTGGGCGGGATCACGGTGAATGATTCTGCTGATGATGAGGCGATAGCTTTATCCGGGCATTGTGGTTATGGATAACATAGGCCGGCGGCTGCGATAGTATCCGGAAGGATGCGGGTTAGAACGGCAGTAGCCTAGTAGGTAAGGTATTCGTACCCTCGGGGCCTCGCTCCCCTTGCAACAGCGGTTTGCCAACACGGTAAGGTGCCTTGGCAGCCGTTCCCGGCAATGGAAATTCCCCGATTTGACGAATTGTTCAGGCCCCGCTGCCAAGCACTTTGCTCGCAGGAGTGGAGACCAGGTTTTCGATCGCATACATCTTTCTGCTCCGGCCATAACGGTGCATGTTCGCGAACAGATTACTACCTGCAGAACCGCCCGATTCATAACCACCACCTCGTTATCAAAAACTTGGAATTGCACAAAGCGAACCTACTCTCTGCTCGAAGCCTAATTGGCACCTGCGATACACGAAACAAACACCAACCAAGACCAACGCCCCGATCTCACCCACCATCACCATGCCCATCGACATTGTCCATGAGTCCCTCCCATGTGAGCCCCCTCCCTCGCCCTCCTCCCACTCTCCCACACCCCAAAAGTCACCACCATACACAGGTATCTAACACATACTCCCGCGACAGACGTCGACCCAGACACCACACCTGCCGAGCGCGCCGCAGCCGAAGCCCTCATCGCGGAAGAGCGCACCCAAGTACCAGACGACCCTCACCACCTGCACCTCCCCCCGGCACCCTCACCCACCGCCTTCCTGACACCCCTCCTCACCGCCGAACTCACGCGCCTCAGCACCACCGACCCCTCCTCCCCCTCCCAATCCAAACTCACCGCCCTCGACTTCACACGGTACGAAGCCCCCGACCCGCCCTCCCCAGCCACCCTCAGCACCCTCCCCACGCCCCAGGCGCGCGCCCAACTCCTCCAAGCCACGCTCTCGCGGGCGTACGGCCTCGCACAGCTACATCGCGTCGCGACGGACGCACCTGGCGCTGCTCGAAGCGTACGGCAAGAACGCGTGGCTGGTGGGCAACGCGGCGCTGGAGGGGGAGGTGCGGGCGGCGGAGCAGGAGCTGGCGGGGGCGCGGCGCGAGGTGGACGCGACGACGCTCCGGCGGCGGGCGGCGCAGGACGCGGTGGCGGGGGAGATGGCGGCGCTAGAGGAGGCGTGGCGGAGGGGGGTGGGCAGGGTGTTGGAGACGGAGGCGGCGGTGGAGGGGTTGAGGAGGGAGGGGTTGGAGCTGAGGAGACGGTTGGCTGGTGTTGGGGGGGAGGGGGTGTGAGGTTTGAGCGGGGTTTACTTTTTTTTTTGTTGTTGTTTTTTTAAGGGAGAGGGAAAGAAGGGGGGAAGGGGTTGTAATTTCGTTGGAGAATGGGGAGATACCAGTTTTCCGACATGGACATAATAATGTACATCCCGTGGGACGGACGAGGCGCTACATTGCAACTTCACTACCTACCTCAGAACCATGGATGGCCGTGGGCCGTATCATAAATGAGGACATATGGATTGTACTTTTACTGTACATCTTAGCTATCTGATGACAGTCCATGACTAGTTTGTTGCAGAAAGGAGCTTTGGGAATTCCTAAACGCCGCCCCGACCCTCGTATGACTCTGCGAACTGGCTCTCGTTCTCTCGGATGAACATGACCACCAACCGCGCCGTTTCCATGCAGACCCAACCTACCACCTCCTTCTAAGACATCTGCAGCGGATCCATCTCCTCCACGCCCGTCTTAACACCCACGTACTTGGTCCGTCTCATGATGCCCTCGACCGGCCCCAGCAGCCGCTGGAAGGCCGACTTGCCGAGCCGCGCGACCTTGACTTCGGTCTGGCTGACGACGCTGGCGGCGCGCGGCGCATCGTTGAGCAGCGCGAGCTCGCCAAAGAAGTCGCCCTTCTTGTAGTGCTTCACCGGTGTGTCGTTTCCACTTCTATACGCGACGGCCTCGCCGGCCTCGAGCAGGTAGAATGAGTGGCCCGGGTCGCCCTCGCGAATGATGGTGTGACCCGCAGGGAATTTCTGGCTCTCGAGGGCGTCGGCAATCTTGGACCGCTCGTAGGGAGTCAGGGTCGACAGCAGCGGCACTTCCTCGAGGAAACCTTCGTACATGCGGCGGCGTGCGAAGGTCGACTCCATCAGGATCCGGCGGAAAGTGACGCGGTCGAGTGCCCACAGCATGCATTGCGGCTCGGCCGAGATGACCGTCGCGGCCTCGCGGTGCGTTGTACATCAAGGCGAGCTCGCCAAAAAGATCCGCCGGCCTCAATGGTGTAGACCTTTTGTCCCATCCCATCGGGTCCTGGATAGCAACGAACCCCTGCTATTGACATAGACGTCGAAAGAGCCCTTCTCAACCACGTAGAAGAAAATCGCCGGCGTCGCCTTAGTGTGATAACCTGCCACGAGTTAGATGGATACACTTCCTTGAAGAAACATGCGCTGAGCTCGCTCACCTTGAATTCCCTTGAGTAAGAATCGGCTTTTTTCTACCAAAAGCCCTCATGAACCTGAAGCGCTTTGCTACGTCATTGAGGTGACTAAACAGGAAGTTGCCGCTCATGGCCTGTTTCAGCCGGCCCAGCTGTTCTGACGTCTTAGGATGTACTGGGGGCGCCCAGTTGTCGTAGCTATCGCCAACCGGTTTAAGAGACTCTGCCGACACCGAGGTACGACGTCCAAAATTGTACTGGGCGGGATAGCCTTCTGACACTGGCGGGCTTCTCAACCCGGAATGTTGGGGTTCAGAAGCGGAGTCGCCTCCAAAGGGTCCTCTAAACATGTAGCCGGCCGTCTGGACAAAACTCGGTGTTGTGGGCGAAGTGACTGTGTCGTTTTCATCTTCTTCGGCTACCCTTTGCATGGCGCCCGTGTCGAGCCTGGAAGAGCCAAATGGGTTCGAATTTGCCCCAAAGGGGCTGGTGAATCCCGGACCTGACATATCGGCGGGAACTTGTCAAGATATTTGTTTCTCAACTGGCTCGAACAGCCAAAGTCCGACCACTCTTTATACTTGGTCCCGTCTGAACAAGAGACAGACAAAGCAAGGGTATGCTTGGTGTAAGTCGTGGCCAGAACCCACACACGATCGGCGATTGATTCGCGAGACGTTTCTCTAAAACCCTGGAGGCGAGACAAGTCAGAAAACGGTTCGACATAAACTGTACATCCCGGGCTGTTGGACAGCCACCAGGAGGAGGCTGAAGCAGAGGGGCGGGCAAGAAAGTGATCGTGCGCAGCCCTGTGACCTGCTAGCCGATAGATAGGTCGCTGCTCTTCCGACCTGGTTTCGACAGCCATTACACGGTAGTAATGGCAGTTGAACCTTGTCATGTCTCCAAAACGGCTCTGTCGTGGCCCGAAACCACAAATAGATGTTTTATCAAAGAGTGACCATGCCACCCACAGAGGCGATTTGAAACAGATCAGGCGAGAGGAACCTATCAAAAAATGACGAGAGACTTACTTTCTGCGTTGCCGCCTAGCACTGATGCGTGGTCGGGACAAAGACAAAGAGATATGAGTTGATTGGACGGCACTTGCTTCCGCTAGTTTCGGATGTGGTCGCAGCAAGGTGCGTCTTGTCGAGATACTGCGGGAGTCGAATGCGGCAACTATAGGAAGGGGGGGGGAACTCGTCGAAAAGCTGCAGCGACAATCCGTGGATGATAAAGGCCCAGCTATAGCTCAAACTGCGGAAATGAAGCCGAAATGGTTGATTCGCAGGGAAAGCGGTGTGGACAATGAATAAAGGCTGGTTCGGACGTGTCCGGCGCAACGAGATGAGGGTGCGAGATTAGGCCGACACTGCACTCTTCTTCCTGTTTTGCTCGTGGGCGCAAAGAGAAGATCGGCAAAAGGGCGAGAAGGCAGGGAAATAAGGCACCTGCGACGATCAACAAAGGCGGTATGACGACGGCAAGAGACCCGGGGAGATGGACAGCGGGAAGTCGATGGGGCTTTTTTTTGCGATGAGAAGGCGAGAAGATGGGAACCCAGATGGGGAGCATGAAGCTTCGAGGGAGGTTCCAGCGAGTTCATGAGTGGGGTGCTGCTTGCTTCCCGCCCTACATACAGTATGCGGGAGGTAGCTCTTGCTCTGCGCACGTTCCCTGAATGCATCATCATTGCTGTAACACGAAGCCGATCAAGGACCGTGTTCTCTGCCGCCTCGACAGCATCATAACTTGAATTCATCTTGCGTAAATCAGCTTGCATTGCTTATTTCTGCAAGATGATTGCCTGCCATGCTTAACCTCATTTTTCCATCTCTCAGCTTGCCGTCCCAGTGCGCTGTGTATCGAAGGTAGCAAAGCAAGTCCCGACTGCGAAGGGCTCTGAAAGTTTCCATCTTCAGACGCCCGCACTGTGTTTGGGCAAGGAGGCAAGCTCCAGCTTCCCCTCCTTCATCCCCTCCGCTACCTGGCCCTGGCCCATGCTTTCTCCACAACTTTGCGCTCGGCATCGCCGCTCATTTGCGTCGAATGTTTCTAGAAGACGCACAGACTCGGGAGTGGGCCGGCCCCCCTTACTCTATCTGGGCTCGTGACCTGCACACGGCCCAATCCAGCCCAAAACCAATGGTGGGGGTGTTCTGGTTGGTTTTTGTCTTGTTCGCTGACGTGCTGCCGTGCTGCCGCCAGCTTCGCCAACCTTCTCTGACGGCTTCTCTTGCAGATCTGCCGCACTCTCCTCCGGTAGGCGGCGATGGCAGAACGTGAGGGTGGGAGGACAGGCAGAGCTAGCGCTGTGTTCTGCTGCATGCCTGTTTCCGGCACCCGGGCATGCCGGAGTCAAATTTAGCTGAGGGCAAATGACACAGCAGCAGCTGGCCGTTGGGACGTTGGCCGTACGAAGTACCTTAAGGTCCGTTGACCTAGGTAATCGTGCAAAGCAAAAACCGCAAGACCTGAAAAACTGTTCGTTGGATGACATCAAAAATATTGTCGGCTGCGCCAGCAAAGGAGCTTTGCGCTCTCCATGCCCGGGCTTTGGCGGGGCCAACGAACAGGAGGCGCCTTCCATAACCCTGACCCTCGCTGGGTTTTGCTCCCGAGATCGCGCAGCGCCGCGAAGACTGCAACCGGAGGAGAACCACGTGTAAAACCCCGTGACTGTTTCGTATCTTCACTAAAACTGGTTGGCACTCAGCCTCCTTGCCAAGAAGTACACGGACCACCTTACGACGCCGAGACCGAAGGCTCCGTGTCTCGAAACGCTCCTTTTCTTCTACAACTCCCCTTTGACATCCCGGGACCCTGGGACCGACTACGACAACGACGACCAGAAATGGCCTACCATGGTGCCCCGCCGTCGCCGTGGCGCGGCCAATGATGCGGGCGACGATTCCGTATCAAAGCCGGATGCGCCCAAGAACCAACGGCCCAACTCCTCATGGCGCGGGCGGAGCATGCGGGGGGGGCAGTGCGGTAAGAAACCCAAACTCATTGTCACCATCTTCTCCATTCTAGCCGCCATTTATCTCGGCTTTGGCGCCTACCTGACATATCTGGCACATACGGTACGCCCGTCGTGGCCCCGCTCACGCGTTCGAGCGCGCAGCGAATACTAACCATCACTGCTGTTTCTAGGTCCGGGACATCCGTATCGACTACACGAACTGCAAACACGATGCCCCAAATAAGTTCTCGCCGATGCCCCCAGACTACATCACAGCGCACTTCTCGAAAACAGACAGCAATTATAATCCCTACGAAGCAGAGTGGATGAAGGAAAACCGGACAGTGCCGGTCAAAGGCTACACGGACGACCGCACCTACTGCCGTATCAAGTTCAACATCCCCGAGGAGCTAAATCCCACCATCAGCTTCTTTTACAATCTCGAGAACTTCTACCAGAACCACCGCCGTTACGTCAACTCGTTCAATGCCAAGCAGCTACTCGGCGATGCCGTTGACGGTCGCACTATCAACGACTCCACCTGCGACCCGATCGCCTATGACCCAGAGGGAAGCGGCAAGATTGTTTACCCATGTGGTCTCGTTGCCAATTCCTTCTTCAACGACACCTTCTCAAACCCAGTCCTTCTGTCCGTCCCTGGCTCGAACGCTGCGAATGAGACGTACAAGATGTCAACCAAAGGGATTGCGTGGAGCGGCATGAAGGACCTCTATGGCGACACTAAATACGACATCAACCAGATTGTCCCCCCACCGAACTGGGAACCGCGGTACAGGGGGGGCTATTCCGAGAAGAACCCCCCGCCGAATCTAAAGGAAGATGAGGCTTTTCAGAACTGGATGATGCTGGCTGCGGCGCCCAACTTCTTCAAGCTCTACCAGAGGAATGACAACGACACCTTGAAGGAGGGCCAGTACCAAGTCGATATCGAGGATAATTTCGACACGACCAAGTACAACGGCCGCAAGGCTTTCGTCATAACCACCCTCTCCACCATGGGCTCCCGCAACATCTGGCCGGGGATCATATTCCTGATCGTGGGAGGAATCTGTCTGATCCTCGACATTTGGTTCATCTTGTCGTTCTTCCTGTGGAAGCCCCGCAAGCTGGGTGACCCCTCGTACCTGTCGTGGAACCAGCCTTCCGCGCCCCAGGGACATGCGGCATCATAAGAACACGAAAACAGCTGGGGAGCAGGGAAGCAAGTAGTGGAATACTGAATGATTGGGTGCTGATTGTTTTTGTTGTTTTTGCTAGAATAGTTTGGGATGTGGATTTACACGGCGCAAGAGGGTGGCATAAGGTGTCTCTTTTTTTTTCTCCCTCCCTCCTTTCATTCCCCATCAATGTTCTCGTTCGATGTCTACCGAAATGAAACCGGCTTGTTGCCATGCTTTGAGTTGTTTGTTTGTTCCGATACATATTTGCTGAGGAGGCAATGGGCATTGGAATTCTGGGATATGGGTAATGAATCAAGCGACATCGTTTCATCGTGACCCTGCCTCATTTGCTCCTGTCACCGACTCCCAGAAAATTGGGCCTCGCTCTTTTTTTTGGGTAATTTCGTGAATTTCCGGTGTTTGAGTGTGAGTGATCGGGGGAATGGTTATATAATCTATAATTCGTCGAGTACTTTGGACATGTCGAGTTGCGCAGTATGCAGTTCAAGTCAGTAATCGAAGTACGAATGGCATCTCGATTTGCTGCGACCCACACGTATCTCTCTCCTTTCCAAGTTGTCCTCTTCCACAACAACACGGGCACTTCCCATAAATCAACAACTCCATCAAACATGAGTGAAGAAAGCCAATTAGAAACTTAGGTTATCAATTTCCACAGTCATATTCCCCATCACATGAGTCAATCCCAGGACTTCATTTGAAACTCTCACTGAAAGTCGATCAGCTGTGGTCCCAGGCCATTAACCACTTAGGCACCGGCCCCACCAAAACGCGACAAGGGGTGCCTTGACGTGAGCGTGGAACGCGATTTTTTGGCACCGGCCACCGCCCTGTGGCTCCTTGTCCAAAGGTAACTAACCTGGAAGCTCCATCGCGGTTCTTCGCTGCCGCATCGTTTCCAGCCAAAAAGGCGACAACCATTTTCTCCCTTCATCACACCCGTTGTCGGGGATAGTTCTGCCATCATCAATCGCAGCGATTTTTGCAATCGCCCACCATGGCGGACATCAAAATCGACAGCAAGGCCTTCCAGGAGCGCCTGTCGCACTTTATCGCGGCATGGAAGGCCGACAAGCGTGCCGGCGACGCGCTCTTTGCCGGCGCCTCCTCCATCGTCATCTTGATGGGCAAGGTTGACGAGGAGCCCGAATTTTACAAAAACAATGCCATGCATGTACGTCTCGCCAAGGTCATGATGATACAACCGTCGCGCAGCGCTAACTGGCCCTTAGTTCTGGCTCCTCGGCTACGAGTTCCCGACCACCCTGATGCTCTTTACACTCGACACCCTATACATCCTCACAACACAAAAGAAAGGTTCGCTTACTCCAAACGCACGCCTGTCGGAACCGACAATACTAATCTGTCGATCTCACAGCGAAGTACCTCGACCAGATCAAGGGCGGCCGTTTCCCTGTCGAAGTCCTCGTCCGAAGCAAGGACGCCGCCGAAAACGAGAAGCTTTTCGTCAAGATTACAGATGCGATCAAGGCGGCAGGCGTGAGTCAGAATCCATACTTATTCCATACCCATTACCGCTCTCCCCGAGCTGACAACAGTGGCGCTGCAGAAAAAAGTGGGTGTGCTCTCCAAGGACACCTCCAAGGGCCCATTCGTCGACGAGTGGAAGAAGGCGCTTGCCGACAACTGCAAGGATGTTGAGGAGGTCGACATTGCGCAGGCCTTGTCCGCTGGTGCCTTCTCCGTCAAGGATGAGGCAGAGTTGCGGGCCATGCGGACCTCGTCCAAGGCCTGCGTCGCCCTCCTGACCCCCTACTTCCTCGATGAGATGTCCGACATTCTCGACCAGGATAAGAAGATCAAGCACAGCGTGCTAGCCGACAAGGTTTTCAGCAAGATCGAGGACACCAAGTTCTGGAAAACCGTGGAGCTTCCTAATCGCCAAAAGATGCCTGCAGATTTTGACCCCGAGCAGCTCGATTGGATCCTAGGGCCGATGGTGCAGAGCGGGGGGAAGTTCGACCTGAAATGGCATGCTGACGCCGATGACCAACCGCTCCACCCAGGCATCATTGTCGCAGCTATGGGTTTGCGATATAAGTCCTACTGCTCGCAGATCGCCCGGACTTTCATGGTTGACCCCAACAAGTCCCAAGAAAGCAACTACAAATTCCTCCTCGCAGTCCACAACCTGATCCTAAAGGAGATTCGCGACGGTGTTGCCGTTAAAGATGTCTACAGCAAGGCTCTAGGCCTAATCAAGTCCAAGAAGCCCGAGCTTGAGAAGCATTTCCTGAAGAACGTCGGGTACGGTATCGGGCTCGAGAACAGGGACCCTACGCTGGTCATTAGCGCCAAGAACTCGAGGACGCTGCGTGACGGTATGACGCTTTGCATCACCACCGGATTCAGCGATATCCAAAACCCAGATCCTCAAGATAAGAATAGCAAGGTTTACTCGCTTGTTCTTACCGACACGATTCGTGTCACCGCTGGTGAGGTGGTCGTGTTCACCGGCGAGGCGCCCGTCGACGCGGACGCGACATCCTTCTTCTTCAAGGACGAGGAGGAGGCCCAGCCAACGCCGAAGAAGGAGAAGAGGGACTCGCGGGTGGGTGCTGTTGCCACTAAGAACATCACCAGCACACGGCTACGTTCCGAACGGAATACGGCTCCCGATGACGATGCCGACAAGCGACGCAAAAATCACCAAAAAGAGCTCGCGGCCAGGAAGCAGAAGGAGGGCTTGACCAAGTACGCCGAGTCCACTGATGACAAGAACGGTGTCGAGGTCAAGAAATTCAAGCGCTTCGAGTCGTACAAGCGAGACAACCAGTTCCCACCCAAGATTCGCGATATGGGCATCGTTATTGACCAGAAGAACGCAACCATCGTCCTTCCCGTAATGGGGCGGCCTGTCCCCTTCCATATCAACACCATCAAAAACGCCAGCAAGAGTGATGAGAATGACTGGTCGTTCCTGCGTATCAACTTCCTTTCTCCAGGCCAGGGCGTCGGCCGCAAGGATGATCAACCCTTTGAGGACGCAACAGCCCATTTCGTCAGGAGTTTGACTTTCCGGTCCATGGATGGCGATCGATATGCGGACATCGCAAATCAGATTTCGAACATGAAACGCGAGTCCGTCAAGAAGGAACAGGAGAAGAAGGACATGGAAGATGTCGTGGAGCAGGACAAGCTAGTCGAGATAAGAAGTAAGATCTCCCCAACCCCTCTCAGCTTTTTGCGGTCTTGGGATGCAATACTAACGTACCCCAGATCGACGCCCTGCCGTGCTAGATAACGTCTTCATTCGGCCGGCCATGGAAGGCAAGCGGGTACCCGGGAAAGTCGAGATACACCAGAACGGTATCCGATACCAGTCGCCCCTCAGTACCACACAACGAGTCGACGTCCTGTTTTCCAACGTCCGCCACCTCTTCTTCCAGCCATGCCAGAATGAGCTGATCGTCATCATTCACCTTCACCTCAAGGACCCAATCCTCTTCGGCAAGAAAAAGACGAAAGACGTTCAGTTCTACAGGGAGGCGACTGATATCCAGTTTGACGAGACCGGCAACCGGAAGCGCAAGTACAGATATGGCGACGAAGATGAGTTTGAGGCCGAACAAGAAGAGCGCCGCCGCCGTGCGGAGCTTGACCGTCTCTTCAAGAGCTTCGCTGAGAAGATTGCCGAGGCCGGCCGCAATGAAGGCATCGAAGTGGACATGCCACTTCGCGACCTCGGCTTCCACGGCGTACCCAACCGTAGCAACGTCTACATCCAGCCAACCACCGAGTGCCTCATCCAAATCACCGAGCCGCCGTTCATGGTTATCACGCTCGATGACATCGAGGTCGCCCATCTGGAACGTGTGCAGTTCGGTCTCAAGAACTTTGATCTCGTCTTCGTCTTTAAGGACTTTAGCAGACCGCCCGCCCACGTCAACACCATCCCTGTCGAGTCGCTCGAGGACGTGAAGGAGTTCCTCGACTCATCAGACCTCTCTTACTCAGAAGGTCCGCTCAACCTCAATTGGTCGGTTATCATGAAGACTGTCACGGCCGACCCGCACCAGTTCTTCGTCGACGGCGGCTGGGGATTCCTACAGAACGACTCGGACGATGAGGACGGCTCCGAAGAGGAGGAGGAAGAGAGCACGTTCGAGATTGACGAGAGCGAGCTTGAGGAGGCGTCCGATTCAAGCGAAGAGGGCTCGGACTATGACTCGAACGCGTCGGCTGATGCGAGCGACGAGGCCGAGATGAGCGACGAGGAGGAGGGTGAGGACTGGGATGAGCTCGAGCGGAAGGCTAAGAAGAGGGATCGTGAGAGTGCGCTCGAGGAGGAAGAACAGCGGGGAGGCAAGAAGAAGCAACGGAAGAGATGAGTTTGGAGTTGTAGGTGAGGGAGGGAGGCGGAGATGGTTCTTTGGGTTCTTGGGTCGGGCCGGGAACGGATACTTCTTGTTGGTTGGTTTTAACGTGTAAATTTACCGAGTTACTGGGTCTGCGTTGCCATTCCATTTTGGTTTGATTCCGCTAGCCACGGTGGGCAGGATTTCCGAAGGAGTCCGTGTATCTATCTCTGGGCTCAAAGCTTGTATTGCTAGCTCTTAAGGGGGGATTATCTTCACCATCGCTACTTAAGTCGGTGGTTAATGTGTGGTGGGCTGCCCCGAGCTTCTTGAGCCACGTCTGGAGCGTTGTTGGATTTCCTTAGTAATTAACCAACGGGTATTGGTTCGGAATTCAGTTTCACATTGAACTTATTTCGTGTTTTCTGGTTCCGATTTTATTGTGGTGTTGCGACTATTTAGTTGTTCTGTGCGGTTGGTGTTGCATTGAAGAGGCCCATTGTTGACGTGCCCCTCACCGGGAGAAGGGGGAATATTAAGAAAGGTAATGGGGCAAGTCTAGTTCCCCATCAGTCTCTGCCCTCATTGCGACCCGGGTGTTCGTTAATTCGTTAATACAGGTGTGAGAAGCAAAAGAGAACACTGAGACAGATGAGAAAGAATCACAACAACAAAAAAAGGCGCGAAAAATGATAAAAAAAAAAATCAAAAAGCTCACCGCCTAAACCCCCGCTCTTATTTAAAGAGCGGGAAGGTAGACGGCTACGAAAACTCCTGTTGGAGGAGGAGTTTTGCTTCGGTGGGATTCGAACCCGCACCCTTCTGGGTGTACCACTACGCGTCTACAAGTCTACGGCAGATGGTGAGTCTGCACTCCCCCCGCTTCGCCAAACTACAGGTGCGTTTTTTTTCGTTTTTTTTTTTTGCCGGGGGGAGTTGCTGTGGGGAGCGAGGTACGTGTATATTAAGGGTTAATGGCGGGTCTTAACGGGGGAAGCGAGGGAGAAGTTTAGATGGAAGACGGTAGTGGGAGATGGCGGGGGGTAAGTGGTGGAAATTGGGTACTCCATGTTGGGGAGACTGGGTTGCTAACACCGTTGAGGTACGTGAATAGTGAGGAAAGCGATGGAGTGGAAGTAATCGCCTCGTATCTTTTAGGAAGAGCAAGTGGAAAGGGGAAAAGAAGAAGCATGATCGGGGGGTATGGGACATGAGGGTTATGTTCGTGTCACCAGCGGGATTACAGAAGCAAGGTTGGCTAGAACTTGATTCAGACGAGTGTGTGGCGAGGAAGCAGTAAGGTAGGAAGAAAACTCTGTTCCATAGTGGTCAGATACTCCTTCTCTTCACCCGCCGCAGTTAACAAGAGTGAAACGAGGCCAGTTTGATGACAATACCCCGGCGTCACAAGGCAGTTGATTCACTCCCATAAGCACACGATTAAAAATTCATTCCACCATATGAGCTTGCCACCGAGAACAACAACGTCTAGTGTGTCGATAAAACCACTCCGACGAATAGCACGTGCCTGTTTCTCTTCTTATCTGGTTACCAATGTGAGAGCGGCAGGCAGTACAGGGCGCTAACGGTTGGAACGAAGACAACAGCAACCACGGCCATGCGCTGTTACCTCGACCACAGCCACACATACCAAAGGATCACAAGGGAAGAAGCAGGGTAAGGCCTCCGGGGAACCCAAGCAAGGGGAATTTGTGAGGGAGCCTAATGACCAGCGTTGGTATGCACGAGGGTCTGCTATGTGGCCAAGCCAACTGCGCAACTCATCACGCAAAGCCAACGGTAGCCTCTCATTCCGCAGACGGCAGCACCAGCTAAGCCCCGGCATCCCTCGAGCAATAATACTGGTGGTGTATCTGAGACAGACAGACAGCAGCCAGTTCAGCCGGCGTTCTTTTCCAGGCCCCTTACCGCCCCTGGCGCCGTGTGCGCTCGGTGCACCGTTCCACAAGCTTGGGGAGAGGACGGAGGCTAAAGCTTCTGCTGACCCGAGGGGATGCCACCCGGCCCGGAGAGCTGGGAAGGATCCTCGGCTCTGGAGACGAGCGTGGCCTCATCTTCACCCGGGGGGAGGGGGGAAATCCTGCGCGAGGCTTGAAGGAGAAAAAAACCGCACCGTCTCCCAGCCTAGTGTACACAGTAGAACTAACGCTTGTTCACTCGTGGCGTCTCTGGCGCATGACGAGAATAGGAAGATTGGCGCGCATCTGCCCTTCGCTCGGGAGAGGGGGCATTCGATAACACAGTGCTAAACGGAATCACCCGTCCGTCCTCAGCCACGTTGTTGCCATCGTCAAGTCCCACGTTCCCGGCCAGATGAAGCCGCTCAGATATCCGCCCATCGTAGGGGGGGGGGGGGGGAAAGGCGGCATGCACGCCAAAAAGAACCTGCAAGCATATCCCTGCC